AAAATCAGTTGGATTCCTTTACACCAACAAAGAGAACTTCCAAGAGGAAATCACCAAATCAATACCTTTACAACAGCCCCCAAGAAGATAAAATACTTAGCAATAAATCTAACCAGAGACGTAAAAGACCTATACAATGAAAACTACAAGACACTACTGCAAGAAACCAAAAGAGACCTGCAAAAGTGGAAAAACATACCTTGCTCATGGATAGGAAGACTCAACATTGTGAAAATGTCAATTCTACCCAAAGTGATCTAAAGATACAATGCAATCCCAATCCAAATTGCGCCGGCATTTTTTAACGAGAGGGAGAAACAAATCATCAACTTCATATGGAATGGGAGGAGGCCCCGGATAAGTAAAGCATTACTCAAGAAGAAGAACAAAGTGGGAGGCCTCACGCTACCGGATTTTAGAACTTACTATACTGCCACTGTAGTCAAAACAGCCTGGTACTGGTACAGCAGACACATAGACCAATGGAACAGAATTGAGAATCCAGACATAAATTCATACACCTATGAGCAGCTGATATTTGACAAATGCCCAAAGTCCATTAATTGGGGAAAGACAGTCTCTTTAACAAATGCTGCTGGAATAACTGGATATCCATCTGCAAAAAAATGAAACAAGACCCATACCTCACACCATGCACAAAAACTAACTCAAAATGGATCAAAGACCTAAATATCAAATATAAAACGATAAAGATCATGGAAGAAAAAATAGGGACAACGCTACGAGCTCTAATAAATGGCATAAACAGAATATGAACCATAAGTAACAATGCACAAACACCAGAAGAGAAACTAGATAAGTGGAAGCTCCTAAAAATAAAACACTTATGCTAATCAAAAGACTTCACCAAGAGTCAAAAGACAACCTACAGACCAGGAAAAAATTTTTGACTACGACGAATCTGATCAGCGTCTAATCTCTAAAGTCTAGAAGATACTGGAAAACCTCAACAACAAAAAGACAAATAACCCAATTAAAAAATGGGCAAAGGATATGAACAGGCACTTCGCCAAACAAAACATTCAGGTAGCTAACAGACACACGAGGAAACGCTCATGATCATTAGCCATCAGGGAAATGCAAATCAAAACTACCATAAGATACCATCTCACCCCAACAAGGTTAGCATTAATCCAAAAACACACAAAATAATAAATGTTGGAGAGGTTGTGGAGAGACTGGAACACTTATACACTGTTGGTGGGAATGTAAAATGGTACAACCACTTTGGAAATTGATTTGGCGCTTCCTTAAAAAGCTAGAAATAGAAGTAACATATGATCCAGCAATCCCGCTCCTTGGAATATATCCTAGAGAATTAAGAGCCGTCACACAGATATATGCACACCCATGTTCATCGCAGCACCGTTTACGACAGCAAAAAGATGGAAACAACCTAGGTGCCTATCAACGGACAAATGGATAAACAAATTATGGTATATTCACACAGTGGAATATTACACAGCGATAAAGAACAACGATGAATCTGTGAAACACAACACGGAGGAATCTGGAAGGTATTATGCTGAGTGAATTTAATCAGTTACAAAAGGACAAATATTGTATAAGACCACTATTATAAGAACTCAAGTAAAGGTTTAAACACAGAAGAAAACATTCTTTGATGGTTATGAGGGTGGGAAGGGAGGAAGATCGGTATTTACTAACTAGAAAGTAGATAAGAATTATCTTAGGTGAAGGAAAAGATAACACACACTACAGAGGAAGTCAGCACAACTGGACTAAACCAAAAGCTAAGAAGTTTCCTGAATACAACCAAGCACTTCAAGGGACAGAGTAGCAGGGGCAGAGGTCTGGGGATTGTAGTTTCAGGGGACATCTAGGTCAATTGGCATAATAACGTCTTTTAAGAAAATGTTCTGTCTCCTACTTTGGTGATTGGCATCTGGGGTCTTAAAAGCTAGTAAGAGGCCATCTAAGATGCATTAATTGGTCCCAACCCACCTGGAATAAAGGAGAACGAAGAACACCAAAGACACAAGGGAACTATTAGCCCAAGAGACAGAAAAGGCCTCATAAAGCAGAGACTTCATCAGCCTGAGACCAGAAGAACTAGATGGTGCCCGGCTACAACAATGACCACCCTGACAGGGAACACACCAGAGAGTCCCTGATGGAGCAGGAGAAAGGTGGGGTGCAGAACTCAAATTCTAGTAAAAAGACCAGTCTTAATGATTTAACTGAGACTGGAGGGACCGCAGAAGACATGGCCCCCGAACTCTCTATTAGCCCGAAACTAAAACCATTCCCGAGGCCAACTCTTCAGACAAAGATTAGACTGGACTATGGGACACAAAATGATACTTGTGAAGAGTGTGCTTCTTAGCTCAAGTAGATATATGAGACTAAAAGGGCAGCTCCCGTCCAGAGGCAAGATGAGAAGGCAGAGAGGGTCAGGAGCTGGTTGAATGGACATGGGAAATCTGGGGTGGAAAGGAGGAATATGCTGTCACAGTATAGGGAGAGCAACTAGGGTCACAAAACAACGTATGTATAAATTTTTGTATGAGAGACTAACTTGAATTGCCAACTGTCACTTAAAGCACAATAAAAAAAAGTAAAAACTTTTCAGACTGAAAAACAATTCGTTTCTAATTTTGCGATGAAAATAGTAATAAAAAAAAAATTCAAGTCTAAGGAAATTAGAAGCCAAAAGGGCTATACAGAGAATCAGTAAAGTTACAAAAGTGAAAAATTAATATCTGTGAAAACACAGTTCACTGTGCAAAGCAAGGAGCTGAATAAGGATATTTTGGGTATTCAATTTCAGTTTAAACTGACTATATTTAGTCCTATTTGATTTTGTTCTGATATAAGCTTGAATTTCACTAGAAACAAAAAAATAATGAGAAATATTCTCAACAAATTCCAGCGCAATTCTGACTTACTTTTTTAAATAATGTTTAATTTTACATCTTACTTAGGAAAGAGTATAACTCTAATTCCATTATAACAAACACTATGCAATGGAAATCTCTAATAAAAACTGCTACACCTCAGTCCAATATTTAATAAGGATCCTTGATTTAACAGAGATTATCAAAAAGAAACAAAACTCAAGTACAACAGAAGTATTTGGAGAATTCATTTGAATTTGCTTAAGCTACAGGGTATGATCTTTATTTCAGACAAGTGTTAGTGGCTATCATGTACGAAGAATCTTAGCAGGTTTTCTTTAGCTCAACTAGAGACGTAACTTCAAGACAAACCTACTTAAACGATTTAAAAATACATGTTCTTTATACTGTAAAATTTTACTTGAAATAATGCCTATCTACACCAAACATCCAGCAGCACCTAAAAAAATCATGTCTGCAAATGAACTTATATTTCTTTCTAAACATACTCCTTGTTTCTATTAATGGCATCACCATATTAAAAGAGGCCCCTAGGTTTAAAAATCTTGGCATCATATTTGACTCCTCTCTTTCTCTCTCTCAACCAGTCCATTCCTAACTACCTAGTTGCAAAGTCCTAATATCTTTTACATTTGTCCTCTTCACTCCAGTCTCTTATGAAGACCATAGAATAAACAGTTATTACCTTTGTAAGTCTCTTGCAATTGCATCTAACTGGTCTCCCTGCCTACCAACACATCTTACAAATACTTGCCAGATTAAAGCTCTAAAAAAGAACAGATGTTGTCACTCTTCACCTCTAAAAATTCTAAGAGATTCCTACTGAATACAGAATAAAAGTTCATGCTCATTAGCCCAGTACTCAAGATGTTCCTCACTATGGCATCAATCTACCTTTCTACTTAATTCTCCCTATTCTCCTTCAGTTCAATGTAGGGTTATCATTCATTACAGATAAGGAGAATGAACTGCTATTTTTTATACCTGGTCTACAATTTCTCACTTATCTCAGTGTCTATCTATGATTAATACATTAAAAAAACCCACTGCCATTGAGTTGATTCTAACTTATAGTGACCCTACAGGACAGGGTAGAACTGCCCCATAGGGTTTCCAAGGAGCAGCTGGTGGATTCGAACTGCCGATCTTTTGGTTAGCAGTCTGAGCTCTTAACCACCGTGCCACCAGGGCTCCATGATTAATACATTACTTCTACTTAAAATAATATTACCCTTAATCAACTTATCTAATTATTCATGGTGCAGTTTAAACGTCTCCTCCTGCATGATGCCTTCTCCAGCTACACGTAAACTCACTCCACTTCCACTGAACAACCACAACACTTTGTGAATTTATCATATAATATCTGATACTTTATAATATGGCCATATATGTACTGACCTTACCTCTCTTACTAGATTTCCTAAGAGGGTAATATCCATAAGGAGAAAGTTCCTGAAAATATCCTTAAGGAAAAATATATGCAGAGCCATGCACTTATTGGTTTAAAAACAAACAAACAAACAAACAAAAAAACAACCAAACCAAAAAAACTGACTCACAGTAACCCTACAGGACAGAGTAGAACTGCCCCATACGGTTCCCAAGGAGCAGCTGGTGGATTTGAACTGTCGACCTTTTGGTTAGCAGCTGTAGCTCTTAACCACTGTGCCTCTAGGGCTCCATTTATTTGTAAGTACTCATATATATATGTTGAATGCTTAAATAAATGAGCAGCTAAGCTCTTAACCACTGCGCCACTTCATTATATTAATAAAGAAGTATAAATGTCAATAAAACAGTATGATGGTAACATACTTAGTGGTCAACAGAGTCAATTAATTTGAAACTAGAATACAGTACACTAAATTTAAAGAACTGGTACTACAAAGTTTCCAAAACTATGTTAGTTTACCAATATCAATGGCAAAAAAAAAAAAAATTTAATCCACATGTTCTCATATAATACAAAACTCAAATAAGAGGATATACTATTTATTCTACATAACATTTGCAATTTTGTTTACTAAATGAAGAAAGCTGACAAGAAACTTCTTGATAGCACACTGAAATTTAAAAAAAATAATAATTCTCCCTTACTTCGAATAAGCTTTGGAAATCTTTTTTTTAGTTTCTTCCTTAGTGGATTAAGCTCAGGCATTATTTCTGGAACAGCTACATAAAAGTCTGCATGAACTTCATCAGCCAAAATCTGTAAATCAGAAAAAAAAAAAAAGATAGCCTCAGATAATATGAAAAGAACTATCCTTCAGTAAATAAAAAATTTACGTATAATGTAGTAATTTCCCTTATAATTCAGAAAACAGACATTAAGCACAATTCTCTCGTTCAAACACAAGGATAATACGAATACATTTACCAACTATGAAAATCATCAAAAGCAAAACATTTTCTGATGTTTTCTTTTAAAAATAAGCACATTCATTTTTGAGGAAAACATTTAATTCTTCTGTGCAGTTATGTTAGGGAAAAGTGTTATAAACTAGAACATAGCACTGATATGTTCATGGCTCACATAATCCAACACAGTTTAATTCACAAGTACCTCAAAAATTGAAGAAACAAGTTGAAATTTTGCAACAGATCACATGTAACATTAATATCAACTGGCTGCCAAATTCACTAGCAACCCCACTCTATTCCTAAATTTAGAGCATCAAGAGAACTGAATCTATAATTATTTTCACAAAGAATTGAAACTAAAATTCTCTTTGTCGCCAATAACTAAAAATAAAAAAGGATGGGGTGATCAAAGACAAGTTCACTTACAGTTCATCATCCAGACCCTAATTCTACTCTGAAAGCAAGAGAATATTCAATTTAAAAGAGACATTTCTAACTAATTCAGGCAAGTACCCAACATAATTACTACACAACAACAATATACTCCATTTAAAAATTTTGTTGATTATAAAATGAAGTAACTCTTTAGAATGATACTGTTTGGGCAACAAATATTTTATCAATGATTCTTTTTGCATGAAATCTTACAACGTACCATTTGAAGCCTTGGTTTGGAGTTACAGGGTATACCCTAAAAATTTGAACTGTGCCAAAATTAAGCAGTGATTCTGGAATCATATAATCCTGTCACTATTCTTTCTTTTCACAAATTGTTTATTTCCTAAATAACATACTATGTTGCCCTTAACAATAATAACTAACATTAAATGAGCACTTAACATTTGCCAAGCATTCTGCTAAATATTTTACATGGTTTAATTTATTCAGTCTTCACAATAACCCTTTGTGACAGGTACTAATATTGACAACACATTCCAGATCAGGGAAGCGAGGGCTCCAGGAGCATGAGTAATTTCTGTACACTCATAAAAGGCCGAGTCGGGCTTCAAGCACGGGCAATGCAGTTCTAGAACGAGGGCTCTCATCCCAGGAAATATAACAGCAGAGGCAATTTTGAAATGTCAAAGAAGTATTTGTGGCACTTCTACCATAAGACCTTTCAATACTGATTCTATGACATGTTCTTTTAAATTAAAAATTCTATTTTGAGCCCTTAAAAAAATTAAAATACTCTGAAATAAATCTAACCAGGGATATAGAAGACCTATACAAAGAAAACTACAAAACACTACTGCAAGAAACCAAGAGACCTACATAAATGGAAAAACATACTATGCTCATGATAGGTAGACTTAACATTGCGAAAATGTCCATTCTACCCAAAGTAATCTACAAATACAATGCAATCCTGGTCCAAATACCAACAGCACTCTTTAAAGAGAAGGAAAAACTAATCATTTAACATTATATGGAAAGGGAAGAAGCAGTAAAGCACTATTATAGAAGAAGGATAAAATAGGAGGACTCACACTACCCGACCTCAGAACCTACTACACAGCTACGGTAGCCAAAACAGCCTGGTACTGGTACAATGATAGATACATTGACCAATGGAACAGAATTGAGAACCCAGATGTAAATTCATCCACCTACGGTCACCTGATCTTCAACAAAAGCCCAAAGTTCATTAAACAGGGAAAAGACAGTCTTTTTAACAAATAGTGCTGGCAAAACTGGATGTCCATCTGCAAAAAAATGAAACAGGACCCATACCTCACACCATACACAAAAACTAATTCAAAATGGATCAAAGACCTAAATATAACACCAAAAACTATAAAGATCATAGAAGAAAAAACAGGGTCAACTCTAGAGGCTAATACAAGGCACTAACAGGATATAAACCATAGCTAACAATACACAAACACCAGAAAATAAGCTAAATAACTGGGATCTTCTAAAAATTAAACACTTAAATACTCGTCAAACGACTTCACCAAAAGTGTAAAAAGAGAACCTACGGACTGGGAAAAAAATTTTGGCTATGAAAAATCTGATGAAGGCCTAATCTCTAAAATCTACAGGAAAATTCAACACCTCTACAACAAAAAGACAAATAATCCAATTTAAAAAAATGGGCAAAGGATATGAACAGACACTTCACCAAAGAAGACACTCAAGAGGACAACAGACACATGAGCAAATGCTCGCAATCACTAGCCATTAGAGAAATGCAAATCAAAACCACAATGAGATACCATCTCACCCTGACATTACTGGCACAAATCAAAAAAACAGAAAATAACAAATGTTGGAGAGGCTGCGGGGAGACTAGAACTCTTACGCACTGCTGGTGGGAATGCAAAATGGTACAATCATTTTGGAAAACGATATGGTGCTTCCTTAGAAAGCTAGAAATAGAAATAACATATGATCCAGCAATCCCTCTCTTAGGAATATATCTTAGAGAAATAACAGTCGTCACATGAATAGACATATGCATACCCATATTCACTGCAGCACTGTTCACAACAGTAAAAAGAAATAAATAACCCAGGTGTTCATCAACAGATGAATGGATAAACAAACTATGGTACATACACACAATGGAATACTACGCAGCGATAAAGAATAATAATGAATCTGTGAAGCATTACACAACATGGATGACTCTGGAGGGCATTATGGTGAGCGAAGTAAGTCAATCACAAAAGGACAAATATTGTACGAGACCACTTCTATATAAACTCAAGAAAAGGTTTATACACAAAAAGAAACAATCTTTGATGGTTACGAGGGAGGGGAAAGGTGGGAGGGAAAAACACTAAATAGACAATAGACAAGTGGTAACTTTGGTGAAGGGTAAGACAGTACACAATACTGGGGAAGCCAGCACAACTTGACCAAGGCAAGGTCACAGAAGCTCCATAGACACATCCAAACTCCTTGAGAGACCAAATTACTAGGCTGAGGGCTGTGGGGACAATGGTCTCGGGGAACATCTAGCTCAACTGGAATAATATAGTTTATAAAGAAAATGTTCTACATTCTACTTTGATGAGTAGTGTCTGGGGTCTTAAAAGCTTGGGAGCGGCCATCTAAGATACTCCACTGGTCTCACCCTGTCTGGAGTAAGAGAGAATGAAGAAAATCAAAGACACAAGGGAAACATTAGTCCATAGGACTAACGGACCACAACGACCAGTCTCTACTAGACTGAGTCCAGCACAACGAGATGGTGCCCGGCTACCACCACTGACTGCTCTGACAGGGATCACAATAGAGGGTCTCGGACAGAGCTGGAAAAAAATGTAGAACAAAATTCTAACTTACAAAAAAAAAAAAAGACCAGACTTCCTGGTCTGACAGAGACTAGAGAAACCCCGAGAGCATCGCCCTGGACACCCTTATGGCTCAGTAATAAAGTCACTCCTGAGGTTCACCCTTCAGCCAAAGATTACACAGGCCCATAAAACAAAACCAGGCTAAACAGGCACACTAGCCCAGGGGCAAGAATGAGAAGGCAGGAAGGGACAGGAAAGCTGGTAATGGGGAACCCAAGGTTGAGAAGGGGGAGTGTTGACATGTCGTGGGGTTGGCAACGAATGTCACAAAACATTATGTGCACACTAATTGTTTAATGAGAAACTAGTTTGTTCTGTAAACCTTCATCTAAAGTACAATAAAAAAAAAATTTTTTTAGTAAATAAAAATTCCATTTTTAAATGTTCGGCTTTAGTTACCCTTAAGATGACTAAACATGTCTTCGAATAACACAAAACTGTGGATGGAAATCATGTGCTAGTGACAACTATAAACTCGTTGGCATCAAGTTGATTCTGACTCATACTGACCCTATAGGACAGAGTAGAACTGCCCCAAAGGGTTTCCAAGGAGTGGCTGGTGGATTTGAACGGTCGACCTTTTTGGTTAGCAGCCGGACTCTTAACCTCTGTACCACCAGGGCTCCACAAAAACCCTTTGCCATCAAGTCGATTCTGACTCATTATGACCCTGTAGGACAGGGTAGAATTGCCACATAGGGTTTCCAAGGCTGTAATCTTCAATGAAGCAGATGGTCACATCTTTCTCCCGTGGAACGGCTGGTGGGTTAGAAACACTGACCTTTCGGTTAGCAGTCAAGCCCTTAACCACTGAGCCACCAGGACTCCTTAGAAAATATCGAAGTTGTCAAGGATTTCATTTTACTTGGATCTACAATCAACGCCTATGGAAGCAGCAGTTAAGAAATCAAATGCCATATTGCATTGGGCAAATCTGCTGCAAAAAACCTCTTTCAAGTGTTGAAAAGCATTCACCTATTTAATTTACCTATATAATTTCAAAATGTACTTGGCTTCATTATTTCAGTTATTTTTTCAAATATGTTTCACTTACTGAACTTAATGCTACATAGCATTTCTGCTCCATTACCATTACTTTCTTAAGAGGTAAGTAACTTCTTGTTTAGCATTTCAGAAGAGGAGGTAGCTATTTAAATTCCATTGTGACTGACATTCTAGAAAGTACTCTTGTGATTCTAGAAAGAAATTAAATGAAAAACAGTACACAAATTTAATAAGAAGAGCTAGTTCTCTGATCCCAGAGACTAAGCTCTATTCTCAAATTCCCAAGCACTTGTGGTATTGTCTATTTTTTAATAAAATAATTTTTAAAAATTAAAATTAATGGTACATCAGAAAGAACTGGGTACCACTCTCTCGCTTTGGCCTAGAATGTGTATCAAAGCATAGTTTCTTCTATTTTCCACTAGTTCTGCTCTCAAAAATCAATCATTCTGGACACTCTCCTTAAAAATCCAGAATCCCCACCAAATGTAGAATACCACTATGATGGAAAAACATCCAACTACAAGCACTGCTGTACATCCCAAAAGAAGTCCCCAGTCAAAACTTCCCCAAATGAGGATCGGGATATGAGATAAAAAATAAATTTTCAAGTCATTTGTTTTCTGTTCTAAATATATATACAAACCAAACCAAACCCTTTGTCGTGGAGTCAATTCCAACTCACAGTGATCCTATAGGACAGGGCAGAACTACCCCAGAGGGTTTCCAAGGCTGTAATCTTTACAAAAGCAAGCTGCCACATCTTTCTCCCATGGAGCAAGGGGTGGATTCAAACTACCAACCTTTCAGTTAGCAGCCAAGCACTTAACCACTGTGGTACCAGGGCTCCTAAATATACATACATTCTATTATCTAAATGATTACATTTAGAAGAGGAGCTTTTGGACAATGTTAAGGACAATTTCATATTTCCGAAATAACTCCCAAAATTCATCAGACATGCCCCCTTCCTCCTACTTCTTTAAGGGGGAAAAAGAAAAAACTGGCTTTTGTTTTCAAGCAAGATCCACAAGCTCATTATTTTCTAAAAGCAGGTTATATAATCACTTCTCACTACCATGCCACCCACACCTGTGCCACTCTGAACAGACTAGCAGGTGAAAGTTAAGAGTAACCAAAAGTACCATATTATAGAGATCAGATTTTGTGATCTACTAAGTGAATCACACCTTTTACAGCAAGAAATCAAGACCAATATTTGATCTGTAAAACACGAAGATACCATGTGTTTTTGATTCCAATTTAAATCTCGCATTCAAAACCACAGAGTCACGTCGCCCTTTCTAATCTATCCACAAAATTCTCATAGACATAAAGCAAGTAGCAAGGAAAAAAATCACAATGTAAATCAAGCATAATTAATACCAGATTGTCTGGATAGTTTTTTCTTACCTTGATTTTGAGACCCAAAAGAGTAGGAACATTTTCTCTGTTCTATAAAGTTCTACTAACCATTTTCAAAGGATATGGGCAGAGTGGTTATGTTCTACATGTAGTAAACCAATGGATGGCAAAGATTATGGAACAATCTCTATAAATGATGAATATTAAAACAGTACTCTACCTTCTCAATCAGATTAGTTCCTCCTGCAAACGCAGCTCCGTTTTCTTCTGCTATTTTAGTCTCTGACGCATTCTACCAAAATACAATAGTTTGAATATCAATCCTTAACATTAAAAAACTCAGTTTGCTTTCAAGTATTTTACCAGGAATAATATCACAAAATTAAAATTGTGAGTTGTTATTTTTAATTGAAAATACATCAATTTTCAAATAAATGCATCAGTGATATTACAAACATCTTTAGTTTGTAAAGTGATTAAAGTGTTTCTCGACAGACATAAGGGGAAATACATCAAAATGGCAAATTAGGAACCTACCAAGTGGTTCCTAAGTTTCCAGTGCTATCAATACATCACCTTAAAAAAGAGACTACGACATATTTAGTTTTATTAGAGACATTTTATCAAACCAATAAGAAAAAAGTATAATTTAATAAGAAATGACAGAACCAAATTTAGTCAAGTGTCTGAAAAATTCAAAAGGAAAACAAACAATACTGTTCTTTCTTTTCTATATGTCCCTTTATGCCGCTTGGTTTTACTGTAAAAATCTAACAGTCCCTTAATCACTAGAGTTTTGTGACATTCTAACAACAACATTCCCCACATTTCTGGGAAGTAAAGACTTTGTTTCTTCTTTGAAAGTGAGGCACATACTCTTAAAATGCCTGAAGTCTGAGCTTTAGATAGGGAAGAATTAATTCACTTTACAAAACAAATTTACAAACACTTTATAAACAAACGATTGATAATTTTCAAAGGACTACATTACTATACTTGTTATATATTTGACTTCCTAGAATAAATATTTTTTTAAATTGTGGCTTCAGTGACTTCACAGCACTAAGTAGTCCCACTGCTTTAAAACAATCCTGTTTTTGTTGTTTGAGGAAGAGAGTGAATAGGAAACAGAAGCTAGTAGAATAAATTCTATACTTTTCCTCAGTTTCTTGTAAGAAACAATGTGGTGGACTAATGATGAGATGAGTTTAGCTAAGATTTTTCTCTAATTGTACTTACTCAGTTATTCTAATCATTGATTAATGTGATAGGTTAAAAAAAAAAGGAGAGAATATAAAAAGTTGACAAAGTTTACTCACCCCTGTGAACACAGCAACTTTATTGATTTCTGAAGTGAATGGGTACGGAAGATTAAGAACACTGGCAAATGGCTCCACTTTTTTCTAAATATACAGCAGGGGAAATATAATCATGAAAAGTTCATCTTTTCTCTAGTTCACATATTTTGTAAAACCAGAACTAACACTGAATTATAAACAAAGAAATTGTTGAAATGGCAAATATTTTCTTGTGTACACTTTACCACAATTAAAAAAAAAACAAACTAACATCTTTTATTTTTAGGGTTTTAATTCTACAATACGTCCTCCCATTATTCCAAAACTATTCCATTGATTACAATTTAAAGCACAAAATATTATGTTTCTTTTGTAAGAAACCATAATGAAAATCCAAATCTTTCTTCCCATCTCCATACTCCCATGGCACTTGGCCTTTACCTGTATTACATTATTCATCATAGACTCGCATACATAAAGAGATGTGTTTACATATCCATATCTCCGCTAGCACCTAGCATAAATGATTTTCACATGACAAATGTCTAAAAAATGTTTGCTGCCTTGAATTAAATTAAAAAACGATTTAATTTGCTGACACCATCAAATAGGATGCTAGCTGGGCATACTGAACAATAAACAATACGCAGCTAATCTGCTCAGTAGTAGGTCACTCCTAACCTCCATCCTTGGACCCAAATAATCAGGTGGTATAAACCATAAGTCTAAGAAGAGCCTTTCAGGCCTGGGACTCTAATTGGGTCTATTTTGAAACACCCTGGACCACTACCACTTCCAAATATACTTGGGAAGTCAGTTTGAAAACCCAGAATAAACAATGGCATGCATTTGAGGCACCCTAATACAGGAGCCCTGGTGGCACAGTGGTTAAGAGCTCAGCTACTAACAGAAAGGTTGGCCGTTTGTATCCACCAGGTGCTCCTTGGAAACCCTATGGGGCAGTTCTACCCTGTCCTATAAAGTTGCTATGAGTTGGAATCGACTCGATGGCAATGGGTTTGTTTTTTGGATTTAATGCAAGTAAAGATTCTAAAGGGCCTTAGAACTAATCCGCTCAGTCATCTGGCCAAGGACCTGTCCAGGCCTGAGGCTCAGATCTCTTAGAGAGACTTTATGTAAAAAACAAGTTCTAGACCCATAGTTTTAGTGAAGCCTTAAGGTCTGGAAGAAAAATAAAAGGGGATCTTCCCCTAATTAAAACTGATTGAAACATTACATTTTTAGAAAAACTTTATTTTGAGTAGAGAACTCCTAAGGATTTCTTTTCAGACAAGAAGGCACAAATTCTTAAGCACATTTTATATCAGTCATGCAACTGAGTTTTATTGACTGGCATTCCTTTGGCATTAACATGTCACAACTGGCTTCAGGGAATTTTTCAACGGCAAGCAATCACAAGAACAGCATCCCCCTGGGGAATCCTGGCTTGTTGTATAGGTACCTTATGAAGAAGGAAAAACACCTTAGGAAGGCAACAATATCTAACAATGTTATTAGTTTACAAGTGGATTCCACTTATGAAATGAAGCTTGTCATCCTACAAGATTTTGCTATGAACTACATTAATGAACTACAAATTCTGAAAATAAAAGAATTAACAGTGATACTACGTTATAAAATAAATATTGTAACATGGCTGGTAGAAACTCTTTCTAGTAGACAAGAACTAAGAAATGAGACAGATCTTGGTTCAAATGCTAACTCTGCCCACTACTGTGTGACCTTTAGCAAATTACTTTACTTTTTATGTCTCAACTTCTGAGGTTATAGGATTAAATGAGGAAACACATGTAAAACATTTAGCATTGTGGCGGGTACATAGAAAGGTTTCAACAAATGTTGGTTGTTGTTATTCAGCATTTATTAAGTCCTCTATATCTCATTTAATCCTCCATACAACCATATGAACTAAGCATATTATCTCCCTTTAGAGATGAGACAGGAGTCCTGATGGTGCAATGATTAAGTGCCTGGCTGCTAACGAAAGGTCAGTGGTTCAAACTCAGCAGCCACTCAGAGAGGGAAAAGACCTGGCAAACTGCTTCCGTCAAGATTGTTGTTATTGTGTGCCCTCGAGTTGATTCTGACTCATAGGTACCCTACAGGACAAAGCAGAACTGCCCCATAGGGTTTCCTAAGCTAAAATCTTTACAGGAGCAGATGGCCAGGTCTTTTTTCCCTCGAAGCGACTGGTGGATTTGAACCGCCAACGTTTCAGTTACCAGCCAAGCACTTCACCACTGCACCACCAGGCTTCCTTCTGTAAAGATTACAGCCTAGGAAACCCTAGAGGGGCAGTTCTACTCTGTATAGGGTTGCTGGGTGGGAACTGACTCGATGGCAACCAACAACAGAGGAAACTGAGCTTTGAAGCCTAAAGTCACAGACCAAGTTAAGTGGTGAAGACAAGACTCAAGCCTGAGTAATTGACTACAAAGCCCATGCTCTTAAGCGTTATACTGCACTGCCTCCTCCTAGGTGCTCTATTATGGTTGGTGTTACTAAGGTTGTTAAATTGTACTCAAAAACTTACACCATTTAGTTTGAAAAAAAAAAAGACATCCTCAGAATAAAAATTAAAATATTTCTAAAAAAATTGGATTTCTTAAATTGAGAACCTTACAAATTTAGGACTGTAATAGATCTCAAAGCTAATCTAGTGTTTATTCCTACTTTTAGAGGAAAACTCTTACATGGAACTCATATATATAAACAGACAAAACAGAGAGGGTCTGGTTGAAGCAAGAGTGACAGGCTTGGAATCTCACCCATCCAAACAGAGTCTCATCCCAGGACTCCAAAAAACACATCTAAAAGCCACCGAGCTAATCCAAGGCCCTCACTTAGAAGAGGGACATGACACTCAGGCAGCTTAAGGAACTTTCCAAAGTTACAGTAATACTTCAATTAATTTCAACACTACTTGTGTTGAAATTTATACCAGTGTTTCTTTGGGAGAAAGGAGATATGTGTTCATCAACTCTCCAGAGCAAATATTCAACATTATATTTCATATTTGGAAAATTTAATAAAAAAAATTTTCATAACATTCAGTATAGAAAGGGAATGAGATATTCTAATAATCATCAAGGAAGGAAAGAAATTTAAAAAATTAAGAAACATGAACTCTACAGCCATTGCTCACATATAAATTTATTTGAGTCTACATACCTTCTTCTGCAGTGACATATCCAGTGTCAAATCAAGATAAACACCTTGCTTTGGATAAGTGAAGTCTAGAATTTGGTATTTCTTAAGAAGGTGAACAGCCTTCTCCACCTCGTATATCTGCCTTGGGTATAAGCGTTTTAAATAGACATCATCTTCAGGTTCGCCTTCCATACAGGGGTATGACTTTATTTTTTCTATCTCATTTTTTTTTTCATCTGATGCTTTTTCCTTGGGGCCTTTTTTTTTCTTTGCAGGCCTTAAAAACAAAAACAAAAACTCAACAACAAAAAGAAAAATATCCCAATTAAAAAATGGGTAAAGAACTTGAACATACATTTCCCAAAGAAGATATAGAAATGGCCAATAAGCACCTGAAAAGATGCTCAACATCATTAGTCACTAGGGAAATGCAAATGAAAACTACAATGAGATACCACTTCATACCGCCAGGATAGCTATTATCAAAAAAACTGAAAATAACAAGTATTGGTGAGAATGTGGAGAAACGAGTCCTCCTCCATTGCTGGTAGGATTGTAAAATTATGCAGTTGCTGTGGAAAACAGTTTGGTGGTTCTTCAAAAAGTTAAACATAGATTTACCATATGACCCAGAAATCTCACTTCTAGAAATAGACCCAAAAAATTGAAAGGACTTAAAAAAATAATTGTATACCAATGTTCACTGCCACATTATTCACAATAGCCAATAGATGGAAACAACCCAAGTGTCCATCAACAGATGAATCAATACACAAGATGTGGTACATACATACAATATGTATGAATATTATTAGGACATAAAGAGAAATGACATTCTGATACATGGCTGAACCTTGCAAACATTATGCTAAATAAAATAAGTCAGACACAAAAGAACAAATATTATAGGATCCCACTTACATGAAGTATCTAGAATATGCAAATGCATAAGCAAAAGTAGATTAGTGGTTACCAGGGGCTGGAAGGAAGAAAGAATGGGGAGTTATTGCTTAATGGGTACTGAATTTCTGTGTGGGGTGATAAAAAAGTTTTGGAAAAACAGAGAGGTGATGGTTATACAACATTGTAAATGTAATTAACGTCACTGAATTGTACACTTTAAACTGGTGAAAATGGCAAATTTGTTACATATATTTTACCACAATAAAATTTTAAAAAGGATAAAAATCAAGATCAGTTATCTCAATATGTATTCGAAAAGACTTAAAATAAAAAAAAGCAAATATATGAAAGAGACAAGAAATTAACAAAAGATAAATTTTAATTCAAAAGCACAGGTTGCTGTACAAGTTTTCTAGTTCAACAAATATAAAATCAACATTTGTGTTATTTGCAGTTGATACAAAGTTAAATGAGACATAAACCCTACTCTCCAGAAACTTACAGAGCAGTGGAGGAAATAGACATGCAGAGATAATTTCAATATAATGTGGTAAGCACTATGCAGATGTTAGCAGAGGCTTAGGGAAAAAACACTTAACCCATCCTACCAGATTAGGAAAAGTTTCCTGGAAGAGATGACCCCAAAGTCAATTCTTGAAGCGTAAAGAAGAATTAGCCTAGGTATATACACAAAAGAAATGAAAACATAAGTCTATACAAAAACTTGTACATGAATGTTCATAGCAGCATTATTCATAATAGCCAAAACTACCCAAATGTCCATCAAATGATAAATAGACACAAACTGTGGTATTTCTATACAATGGAATATTATTTGGCCATGATAAGGAATGAAGTAGAGATACATGCTATAGCATGGACGAACTGAAAACTTTATGCTAAGAAGCCAGTCATAGAGAGACCACATATTGCATGATTCCATTTATATGAAATATCCGAATAGACAAATGTATAGAGACCAAAAACAGAGTAGTGGATGCCTAGGGCTGGTGGAGACGGGGTGGGGTGGGGGTGGGGGTGGGGGGAGTGAATAGAGAGGGTTTTTTTGGAGGGTTATGAAATGTTCTAAAATTGATAGTGGTGATGGTTGCATGACTCTGTGAATATACTAAAAACCATTGAGTTGTACACTTAAAATGCATGAACTGTATCTCAAAAAAGCTGTTATTAAAAAAAAAAAGCAATCCAGGCAAAAAAAAAAAAAAAACATGATAAAAGATTAAAGCATGAAATAAAATGGTATATAAGGGGAGCTGTTATAAGCTCTGGATGACTAGGGCAGGGGTTGGCAAACTTTTTCTGTTAAGGACCAGAGAGTAAATATTTCAGGGTTTGTCTCTGCCACAACTACTCAACTCTAAAAACAGCAACAGTGCAATATTTAAATGAATACGTGTAGCTGTGTTCCAATAAAACTTTATTTATGAATACTGAAATTTAAATTTTGTAACTTTCATGTGCAAAAAAATATTCTTTTTATTTTTTTCAACCATTTAAAAATGTAAACACCATTCTTAGCTCGTGAACCCTACAAAAATGGGCCATAGCTTGCTCACTCCTGGCAAAATAGAAGGCAGGAAATGGTGGAAGATGAGTCTGGAGAATCTAAATCACAGAGGGCCTCCTCTAGGGGCAATGAGAAGCCACTGAACGGGAGTGACATCTGTATTTCAAGTAGAATATTTTGGCTGCAATGTAAGGGATGGATCTGAAGGAAGCAAAGTTTAGGTCAACTAAGAGACAACCACCTCCCTTTCTTCCCAAAGAGATATGAGAGTCTGAATCTCAACAGTGATGATAATAAGGCAGGAGAAGAGATGACAGATTAGAGATTAACCAGTAACCAGTTGCCGTAGAGTCGTAGAGTCGACTCTTGACTCATGGTGACCCCAAGTATGTCAGAGTCAAAGTAAATACTGAAGATAGGGAGAGGGGAAAGAGAAGACCCTGGAAGACTTTTTTAGGTTTCTAGGTTAGTAGACTAGGCATAGAGTAGTATCATTAACTAAGACTAAAAATAAAGAAAGCAAAACAGGTTTCTGGTGAGGGAGGTAGTCACAGAGATGAGTTCAGTTTGGGGGAGAGTTTGAACATGTGTCCGAGTGCATCACTGACCTCAATTCTTTACCTTCTCTCCATTCAAGTCCATTTGCTAGGTGACTTTGCAGCTCCTCCCACTAAAGGGATGGAGTACATTTTCCAGCCCCTTAATTTGGTCATGTGACAGAATAAAGCAAAAGCAACAGTATTCCAGTTTTGTGCCTAGGCCATAAAAGGCTTCATGTTTCCACTTACATGTTTGCATTTCTGTCATTTTCATAAGAAGGACATGCCTGGGCTAGGCCAAAGGCACGGGGATGAGAGACATGTGGAAGGAGCCACAGAGCCCCAGGCTAGATTAGACAATTCTCAGCTGACCTGCAGACTCACAGATGCAGATGTGTAAGTCCAGCCAAGGTCACCAGAGACACCCACCCAAACCCAGCCTAGCAGGTGATCTATAGATGTGTGGTTAATGATAATTGGCGTGGAATAGTTTGTTACATAGCAAAAACTAACAAGGTGCTTACAAAATATCTACGAAAATATGTACAACAGGTATTGCAGATAAGAGTTTGAAGCTTAGAAGAAAAGTCAGAACTAGTGGTGCTTTATTTTCTCAGCATTAATTCAAATCATACCTAGGATCTTACAACAATAAAATTTTTAAATTAGTAAAATAGCATTCTGGAAAGATGTTTCGGTTCTGTGGTAAACAGAATAAGGGCCTTCCACCCCAAAGATGTCCATATCCTAATCTCTAGAATCTGTGAATATTTTACCTTACCTGGCAAAAAGGATTTTGCAGATGTGATTAAGGTTAAAGACCCTGAGAGAGGAGATTACACTGGATTATTGAGGAGGACCAATATAATCACTTGAGCCATTAAAAGCAGAGAACTGCAGCTGTGTCTGACAGAGATGGGATGACGGACGGCAGAAGAGGCAGGGGAAATTCAATTGTGAAAGGGACTCAACTTGCCATTGCCAGCTCTGAAGATGAAAAGAAAGTAGGAGACCATGAGCCAAGCAAGGAATGCGGGTGATCCCTTAAAGCTGGGAATAGCTAGGAAACAGATTCTCACTTAGAGGCTCCAAAACATAATGAAGCCCAGCCAACACCTTGATTTTAGCTCAGTCAAACCCATGTCAGACTTCTGACCTATAGAACTGTTACATAATAAATTTGAATTGTTTTAAGCCACAAAGTTTGTGGTAGTTTGTTATGGTAGTAATAGAAAACTAATATAGGATCCTATAAAATTTCTGTGAAAGAAACGGATGACAGTAAAAAAAAAAAAAAAAAAAGAAAGTTTTTTTAAAAAAGGACCTCTAAAATCAATCCAATATTCAATTCCATTCTCACTTTTAGGACTCAATAAATGCTTATTACCACCAGTAATGATAGTATCCTCCCAGCTAATGAGCAATTCCACAGAACAGCAGATAATGACAATGTTCATTTTTAATGGGATGCAGGTGTCCTTCCAGATGGGCCACAGCAAGTCTGAGCAGGTGCCCAAGTGGATGGATGCCACACATCTCAACAGATACCTTGGAAGTGCTCCACAAAATTCTGAAATCTTCAAAACTTGAGAAACTACACTGTAATTTTATATGTGGTAAAAGAGCAGTGAGGTTAATAGAAGATGGAGCCTAGACAGCCTGCTTTAGGATAAACTCTTATCTAAAACAAATAAAGTGAACAAATGTTCTAGCTATAGCCTCCAGGTTTATTTTATGTTGATTTCATCACTAAATTTTCAATCACATAAGAACCCATCTATTTAATTTGCAATTATTATGAAATTCCCAGGGGCTGAAATAAGATTTTCTTAAATTAATAAGTATTTTCAAAACACAATTTAAAAGTCTGATGGATAAAGAGATTGACTTGGGTATATAAAAATGTATTTAGACTTTGGACCTCATTTCAGAAAATATTTGAGGTGGCTCAGTGAAAAAAAAAAACAATTTTTTAAATTGTACTTTAGATGAAGGTTTACAGAACTAGCTTCTCACTAAACAATTAGTATACATATCATTTTGTGACATTGGTTGTCAACCCCACAACATGTCAACAGTCTCCCCTTCTCAGACTTGGGTTCCCTATTATCAGCTTTCTCAGTGAAAAATTTTTTTAAGTTTCAAATGGACTGCTTAAGTTAAAAAAAAAAAAAAAAGAAGTATATCATCACCAAAACACAGATCAACCTCAGAAAAACACATTCTTAAAAAAATAAAAAATAAAAAACCTACATTGGAACACACTCCCTCCCACACTGGTGGCGTAGTGGTTAACAGTTCAGCTGC